CTAACAGAGGTTTTTGCCACAGTGGAGGGAGAGGAGCCCATAGTGCTGGCGCAGGTCAGTGTTTCAACTTTTTCTTTCACGTTTCCGCATACAGACCTCAGCCAATTAGCCGGCGGTTTTGACCTTCTGCGAACTGGGAGCAAAAACCCCATCTATGTGCTTCTGCTGTTGCAGATCTTGGCATCAGACCTGACCAGCGGCTACAGCGTGCGTAACTGCCTACTCTCCACTGTAGACGGCGTGAAGGTGACGAACCTTCGTCACTTGGCGCAGCTCTTGGGGATCAAGACGCTACGGCACCAGCTGGGGCATAATGAGCAGCGGCAGCAGCCGGACCAGAAGGTGAAGCATCCAAATGAATTTGTTACGTTTGTGCTGGAGGAGAAACTGCAAGTGGTGCTGCACAGAGGCAAGGCCGAAGCGATGCTTCCCGGAATTTTGAAACAGCACGCTATTCATAGGCAGACAAGCGACAACCTGTGAACTGCCTTGCAGCCGCAGCAGCCACATTTAGACAAACACGGCCTCCTATTGTGTACTAGCCGTGCCTTCTGTGCTCCTTGTAGCTGCGGCGCTGGTGCCAACAGTAGTTGTGCATTACTGCTTGTGGTTTCCACCCCTTTTTGACTGCAGCAGCAGTAAGTTGTATTTTATTTGCATTGAATTTTTACTAGAAAGTGGTTCTGCCCACCTCACCCTTGCAGAAACCTGTTCTCGGTAGCACATAGCGCCAATGCAGGAACAAAGGCAGGAAGAAATGATGGAGCGAAAACGGAGGTGTTAAGCAGAGCCGCAGAATTGGGTAGACATGCATAGGACAGAAAGAATGAATGAAGCCAGAGAGGAGAGAACAGCGGATGTAGACGGACAGACAACACGGCAATAGGGACGAATAAACTGATTCAGGAAACTCGAGGGCGACGTCCCCGTAGTAACCGAGAAGGGGGGCACTCGACTGTATCTCTGGCGGCCATACCACCAACTCCTGCGTGAGGGGTTGGGATGCCAGGGTGCCTGTTGGGAGGGGGTAGACCCTTCTAGCCCAAAGCCGCTCCAAATTGAATAGTAGTGCTGAACCCCTTCGTAGCGAGGAGAGCCGGTCTGTTGTGTCTCGCAGCGATCTGACCTGGTTAACAGGACCAACGAACACTCAGACCATACTACGACTACCTCCGCGATGCCATCGCATCATTAAAGACAGCTGCAGTTACTGCAATTCTGTACTAGCAACCAACCGCTACTGTCCGGTGGGTGGGCATCGGGTCTTCCCTTCCATTTCATTGAGTCTTTTGTTGCCAGATTCATCCACAAATAGTTTTTCTGCACGTAAACTTCGAAAGAGTCGGTTGTATTATGCTGACCCGGCCTTCGGGGGCCCCGCTGGCCCTGCCAACGGGACCCTGTGGGGCACAAGGGCCCCAGGGTAGGGGCCTTCGAAACATATTGTTAACATTTAAAGTTTTGTTGTTTCTGATGGTTTGGAGGGGGATATCAGAGTCGGCGGCTGCATCTACAGGGTCTCCCCTTAGGTTTGGGGTTGTTGCCTAGAACATGGCGAAGGTCAAGAGTGAGCCACGCGCTAAGCGCTAAAACCGAAACCTTAGCAGCTAGAGCTGTATTTCCATATATGCATTTGATTACACCTATGCGGAAGTTGGCGAGCAGCTCAAGCCGTGGACCGTGGGGTTTGGACTGGGTGGTTGTATTGAACCCAACGCGGGTCTCGATGTTCAGTGTCCATGAAGCTCAAGGCTCTGGGGTTTCGTGTTTAGCGTTGTGGGTTTAAGGTT